CAACTATGTAGTGCAAGAGCCTGCCTAATTGGACACAATTGAAAGTGTTGTTAGGTTTGACCTCCTATTATATGGTCTTTGGTAAATCTAAACCAAAAGTCTCAAGAAAATTGTATAATGTTTGGCCAGCCTCAGTTTCAGAGTCAGTCCCTTTTATGTGTCTTTTAAGGACATGCAAACAGACCATTTGCTTTAAACACAGCAGAAGGTGTTTGGTAAGTATAAATAACTTTTAGGTTCCATTCATAAGATCACCTAGACTCATACTCTGTGTCATGTTTATGTAAAAAAAAAATCAGCGGAAATCCAAAATTTTGGAGTTGTTCCCCAGAAAAAGAAGTGAAGATAAATCTTCCAATGGAGGTTCTTGTTCCATCGAGAACTGTCTGAGAGGGGAATTCCTCTTGCATTGGGGGAGTTTCACTGAATTATTCCTATTGGTAGGGAATTTCTCTAATGGTACATTACATTACAGACAAAAAAAAAGGTTTTGGATATAATATACATTCAATTTAGGAGTAGCATTCTACTGGTTCATCAAACTAAACCTGTTTAGTGAGAGGAGAATAATTGTAGACTGTGGGGCTGAGGAAAATAAACTGCTCACTTTGTAAGGGGAATTTTCCCCAGAGCATAGGTAATAAGGTGAAGCTCTGCCGACATCCACCATCCAATCATGTGCAGGTAAAATGCTGTTGTTTACATGAACTTGATTAGGTTTTCTTTGCAAAGTGACATTTCAACACATTCATTAAGCTCTGGCTGAAATTTCCTTAGAAAATGCAACTTCCCTTGAAAAGTGAAAAGAATATTTACATTTAGTAAAAAAACCTTTATGTGGGCAAACCCATCCATTTCAAAATATATGCAATTTACTTGTTTCTATCATAACGCAGGCTGGATAACTTTGCATTCAACAGTATTTTATGCACATTAGGGAGCATGGGTTTATGTAGGAATTTGCCTTCAGGTATCGTTCAAAGTGGAAGCACATGGCTTCAACATCCAATAAGCTAAATCTAACTACTATCATGCAATGTAAAATATGTAGTATAAAAGAGAAATGCAATGCATTTAGCATTAACTAAGTAACACAAGACACAATATTCTTCTGAAGCAGGGACTAAAAACAATATATAAAATTTATTCAAGTCTGGTCAATTAGATTTGTAGCATAAGTCTTTGAAAAGACAAGTTTTTAGGGTCTTCCTAGGACAAAAGTTCTGAGGCTCATTCGGGAGCATTTTACAGGATATTCAATCTTCGGTCTCTTGGGTCTTCCCAACTATATCCATCCTAAACAGTTGTTGAAATTCATATTCTATTACTTCTATAAACGCATCCAGTTTCTGAGCCCAAGTCCTTTTTAGATTTATCATAGTTGGCAATATTGTTTTACTTGCAGTTATGTAGTGTTCGTCCGATAACAGGGTGTTGTGGACCACAAAACAAGTGGGTGGTACTGACCATAATATGTTTTAACAGTCTTGCTATGTAGCTGACCCCAACATTTTTTTTTTTGTTTACAAAAATATAAACCTTAGATAATACTCTAAATTAAAACAATACAAGCTAGAATAAACATTCTTATGCTTTTAAATTTTGAGTATTATAAAGTTATTTATTGATGAGAGTTCTAATAACTGATTACCCCCACACAGGAGCAAATGCTGTTGTTAGAAGGTAAGTTATGTTAACCACTTCCTGTCCGGACACTTTCACCCCCTTCCTGTCCAGGGCAATTTTCAGCTATCACACTTTGAATGACAATTGCGCGGTCATGCAATACTGTACCCATATGAATTTTTTACCATTTTTTTGAGACAGATAAAGCTTTATTTTGGTGGTATTATTCATCGCTGGGATTTTAATTTTTTTTACTATGTAAATGAAAAAGTCCAAAAATTTTGAAAAAAGTGTTTTTTTTTAAATAAAATTTTGCAAATAAATAATATTTCATCATAAATCTTGGCCAAAATTTATTCCGTTATTTTTTTAGTAAAAAAAAAAAATCCAAATTAGTTTATAACCAAAAATTATAATTTTTAAACATTTTTTTTTCATTTTTATTTTTATTTTTTTATATTATTTTTTTATTTATTTATTTATTTTTTTACATACTGTCACCCTAGCAGTACAGTATCACCATGGTGACACTGTACTACTTGTGGGGGGTGATGAAGATTTTTTTTTTTTTTTTTACACTGATTGCTTTTACACCCATATAGGATGTAAAAGCAATCATTTCTCTTTCTCTCTGTCTGCATTCTTGCAGTCATTGAGAAGTACTGAGTGAGCCGTGATTGGTCACAGCTTGTCACATGGTGCAAGGCTGTTGTGAATAGCCTTGTACCATGTGACCTCTGTGATCATTCACAGATTTCACACATAGTAAGCAATGATGTCACAAGTGACATCTTGCTTACTACTTTGCATGTGATCACTGATTCGCCAATCAGTGATCACATGATCGGGACCTCGTACAGAGGTCCCGTCCGACGATCGGTGTTTCACTGTGTCCGAAGGACACAGCAGGCACCAGATCGTGGTGCTGCGCGCTCTCAGGGAGCGCACACAGCTAGAAAAGGTGGGTGCCGTTTATGAACGGCAACCTGCCCCTGGACTGCCACCGCCCTGCCCTTTATCAACAGCAGGCGGACGGCAAGTGGTTAAAATGGATATGAACCCAAAACCAAAAAAAAAAATATATTTCAGTTTACCAGACCTTCGGTGGGTCTGCTGCATTCATTTTCTTTTTTTCAGGCCAGGTAATTATTTGCAAGTTCAGAAAATTAACTGCTTATCCCATCAAAAAATGTGTCTCCATGTAAATTTTTGTGAACCGAACTGAGATTTAAAAGAATGTTATCTGCTTTCTCAACTATCTTTTGTGAACTACAAAGCAGCACTTTATATATAAAGAAAATAAGGAGGGGGGTTGTTTGTAATGCCAACCAAGACACCAGCCTAGAGTGACAACACTGCTCCTCCATTGTTACAGTATAGTAAGTGAGCATTGTCACCCAGGACAGGATGTGTATTATTTTCATAATCTGGTGAAAATAAAGGAAAGATGCTTGAAAAAGAAGCCACCACCACCACCAAAACCAGTAAACTGCAATTTATAAAATTTTTGTTTTTGGGTTTGGTGAAACTTTTTAACGTTGGGACGTAGGTATCACAGTTAAAGTATATCTAAAACCAAAATTAAAAAGTTAATATTTTGCAGTGTAATAGTCCTCAGATGTGGTAACTATGTTGGTTTTCTTTTTCTAACTTCTTGTGCAGTGGAGTGTCATCCTAAACAATGAAATCAGCTTTCACAGCTATCTTTTGTGAACTACAACACTCTTCTTCTCTATTTAATGGAAATGAGGAGAGGGTTAGTGATTAAAATTAAAGCCAATAGAACAGTGTAGAAAATATTTAAAAATATTTTCATTTTTTCTTTGTTTCAGAGCTGTATAGCTGGTGCTGAAGCTTAAATAGATCGCAACAGAGCCATGCTTTTTGGATTACTACCAGGACCACTAGTAAACTCTCTGAGATTAGCTTCCAGATGAAAGTAAGCCAATAGTCATACCTAAATGAGCCACACATTTTATTTATGACACCCCAGGATCCTGCCGATCAAAGAAAAGACATTTTGTTTTTTAAATGTATACAAATGTAAAACATGGTGGGGGGGGGGCACCTTAATAATCATAAACAATATATACCTCAGCTAATAATGGAATCTTCTACCCCTACTACCAGTCCATCCCCCATACTTACTACCTTTTGTACCACTAGCCTCTCCCTCCTAGATTGTAAGCTCCAAGGAGCTAACCCTCTTGTATTGAACTGTATTGTTGCTGTATTGTCTCCCGTTATATTGTAAAGTGCTGAAAAACTGTTGTCGCCATATAAATCCTGTATAATAATAATAAATAATAATAATATACCATTGTTGTATGCTTAGAAGCAAAACAGGAAGTAATGACAGTGAAAAGTGCTGTTCATTTACCATTAGCGCATAAAAAAAGAAGCTCCCCAGAATTCAGGTTAGTCAAGTAGCAAACACCAGCCCCTGCAATCAAAGTAAAAGCAGTGGTCTAATTTGCACACACTTTCTAGGTACCTGTGCTAGTGTTGGCTCTGCTCTTATCTGTAAGAATAACAGTAGTTAACCATAGCGTCTAAATTAAAAACTAGATTTCAGCATTCAGCAGATTAGTGTAAGCTGGGCATGAACATACTGGGTCTATTTCACTTTGCATAAACATTTTATGAATGGAGTTCTTTATCAATGAGCTGTATAGTAAAGAAAACGCATTGATACACTGAAGGTAAGAGAAGGTAAAATGAGGACATGATGTTATGTTATCTTGCCAGTGTACCTTAAAGCTGGCCAGACATGGATCAAAACTCAGCTGGTTCAGTAGGGACCAGCCAAATTTCGATTCATGTATGTGTAGGCTGATTGTACCCAAGTTGATACGTCTATCGCCTTTCGTACAGCATGTCAGATTTTTTTTACATACAATTACTTCCACCTACCACACAATAGTGCTGTGGGAGGCATTTCGTGGTGGAAGAAAATCTGATAATCTATGGTCTGCCTAAGTGCAACAAAAAAGTTTCTTGATAAACAAATCCATTCATTTAAGCTGGCAGGGAGCGAGACGCTTTTGCCAGTTTAAGGTTTCTCATAGAGTGGGGTGTGGGGAAACAATAGTGTTGCAAACATTGTCCTAAAGCAATAGGGAGAGACAGGACTAATTTAAAAGGTAAGTCCAATACACTACCCAATCAGGTTTTTCCCAAAAGCTTTCTACTGATCATGGTCCTTCATCTTGCAGTGCCACAAAGCAAAATTACAGGGTTTTATTAATAAAACTGCTAGAGAGGAAATAAATGACACATTCTTCATGTAACCTAAGGAAATATTGTTTTTGTCTTCTTTTCAGGACATCTTTTTAAAATCACCATCGAGCTATTTGTAATTTACTCAACCACATATGGAGTTTTCCAATCAATCTCTTGTCACTCAGTTTATTATTGTAGGCTTTCCTGATCTTGGTGGATATGAGGCCTTGTTATTTATTTTCCTAAGTATCGCCTACATATTCACCCTCAGTGGTAATATCACAATAATTACCCTCATCCTTAATAATCACAAGCTTCATGTTCCTCTTTATCTGTTTGTTGCTGAACTTTCCTTTTTGGAAATCTGGTATACCACTGTTACAATACCGAAAATGTTGTTAATTTTGCTGAATGTTAAGATAATCCCTTATGTTGGGTGTTTGTTGCAAATGTACTTTTTTCATGTCCTAGGTGCCACAGAAACGTATCTTCTAACAGCAATGGCCTTTGACCGATATATGGCCATATGCAACCCTTTAAGGTACCCATCCATAATGACTATCATATCTTGTTTTGAGCTGGCAGCTTGCTGTTGGGTTGTTGGCTTCCTAGGACCTTTAACACAAATTATCCTGTTGTCTCGTCTTATATTCTGTGGCTCAAACAGAGTTGAACATATCTTCTGTGACTTCAATCCAGTGATGAACTTGGCCTGTTCAGATTTTTCACTCAATATTAGAGTTAACTTTACCATCAATTCCTTTCTTCTCTTCTTTGCTTTCACCTGCATCATTCTATCCTATATTAAAATAATATCCACTGTGTTAAAAATAAAGACATCAGAAGGCAGAAAAAAAGCATTTTCTACATGTGGAGCTCATCTAACAGTGGTCCTTCTTTTCTTTGGTAGTGCCTGTTTTATGTATGCTAGACCGATCAAAACTCACACTGTAAACTATGACCGCATACTGGCTGTGATTTACTCAGTTTTAACACCAATGTTCAATCCAGTTATTTATAGCCTAAGGAATCAAGAAATTAGAAATTTACTGAAGAAGAAGTTATTAGAAATATTTTAGAGCCCATCTGATTTAGTTGAAATCACCTATTTAAACTCTAAATAAATCAAAACAAATTGTGAGCAAAGTCATGCTTATGACAGCTGTCAGAGTAGAAAAGCCTTTCTCCTTCCAGCATGCTGCAGAAAAAGACCCTTGCTCTCTGCGTGGAAACAGTGGTGTCTCTGCAGAGGTCTGGCATTTCCCCTGCTGAGCCAGAGCTCTGCAATCAATTAGGCTGGCCATACATTATATATTAAGTATAAGATAAAACAAAGTGAGCACTCCCGATGAAGCAGCTATTGCACTAAGGTAAGCAGAAAAAAACCTCTGTCAAATTGTAAACAAGGAGTGCAGCACTAAATTCAAACAAAGGTGAACCAATAAAATATATAAATGACAAATTAAATTCAAAAGTTCGTACAAGTTCATAAATTGATAGTGGTAATGTAGGATCCCAACCGCAGCGATATTCAAGTGCTCGTGCTTTGAAGGTATGGTAAAAATGCGCACCCACCGGATGCGCATTGAATATGCACATATAAATATATTCAACATGGTCCACTGTAGGGAACGGGATATGACAGGCGTGTGGTAAACTTCCTTCAGGGTGTTAAACAGCACGGAAGAATCTCTTGGGCTGGGTAAGTGGCCAGCTCATCCAGAGATCCCCTTTAAGGATAGATGGGTCTGCAGCCTGTGTTACAGGGATTCCCTCCTCTGGGTGCTTGAATGGGCCAGGCTCACAAGAAGGCTCTTTATTCCCGTTCCAGTGAAAAATGCTGGACTGTCCCGCACATCTTCACACTCAGGGTGACCAGGAATGTGAATTTTTCACTGGAACAGGAATAAAGAGCCTTCTTGTGAGCCTGGCCCATTCAAGCACCCAGAGGAGGGAATCCCTGTAACACAGGCTGCAGACCCATTCATCCTAAAAGGGGACCTCTGGATGAGCTGACCACTTACCCAGCCCAAGAGATTCTACTGTGCTGTTTAAAACCCTGAAGGAAGTTTACCATACGCCTGGCATAGCCCGTTCCCTAAAGTGGACCATATTGAATATATTTATATGCGCATATTCTATGCGCATCCAGCGAGTGCGCATTTTTACTATACCTTCCAAGCACAAGCATTTGATTATCACTGAGGTTGGAATCCTACATTACCACTATCAATTTATGAACTTTTATGAACTTTTGAATTTAGTTTGTCATTTATATATTTTTACTGGTTCACTTTCGTTTGAATTTAGCACTGCACTCCTTGTTTACAATACATTATATAATGTTCTTGAGAATTTTGCATAAGATTTACCAAAAACCATTTAATATGGGGTCAAACCTAAATAACACTTTCAATTGTATCCAATTAGGCAGGCCCTTGCACTACATAGTTGAAGGTAAATCTAAAGGAAATTGGACAGAAAATTATATAGTGTATGTATGGCCAGCCTTATACTCATGCTTTCAGCTGAATTGCCTCAGTAGAGAGATTGCAGCTTCCATACAGAGAGCAAGGTTCCTTCTCTACAGCATGCTGGCATGGGACAGACATTTCTACTAAGGCCATGGCTGTTTTCTGAAGAAAACAAACTGCAACTCTTTGCACACATTTTTCTTTGATGCACATGGAATGCATTTAATTTATTTAAAACGGAAAGCTCAGTATTATGACCTTTCCTAATATCATGGCAGAACTCAATAGATTTGGCCATGTATCTCAGTCCCATGACTCATGATATAACAACTCCCCTTTGTATGGAAAATTATGACAATTTACTGTCTCCTCTCAAGAGAAAGTTAGGTGCATGGCATTGGCTAGGAAGTATAAATGTAATCAAAATGATTGTCCTCTCCCAGGTCACCTACTTCTTGCATACAGTTGCTATAGAACTACCAATGGCCTTTTTTGCCTGTATTCAGAAAATTATCAGCGATTATATTTTGGCAAATACGAAACCATGAATAGTCTATTCCATTCTCAGGAGGACCAAAACAACAAGAGGCTTGGGCTTTCTAGATATATACTTATATAATTAAGTAATGGTCCTGGTCAGTATTTTCAACTGGCATCACAAAATAAAAGACAAAATCTAGGTCACCTTAGAGATATTTATGGCCAGACCCAACCTGGCCCATGCCCCATGGCTTCTCTCTGCACATAGAGGTCTTTTTACCAGCACGTTATACCTATCATCCCACCTATGTTCCCTTTTTTCTTTGGGGGCTATGTCTGGTTTGCATTTGAAGAAATCATGTATGTAAGGTATGGTGTTGCTATTTGCGGCTATTTATTCTCCTTGAGACCAACAGACACCCTTACGGTATTTGACCTCTTCATCTTGCTGTACAAATAACTGTTTGATCTTCATTTCACTCAGGATCCCTACTTTTTGAAGGAAAGGGAAAAGGAGTTACACTGCAAACTCCCCTCCATAATGAAAAATGTAAAATTCTTACCATGACTCATATCTCTAACATTAGCATTAAAATTTAACACTCTTGGTACAAATTCATATCCAGGTGATAGAAACCCTCCCACAAATTGGCCACCATGTTATTCCCAGATCTGCTGCATCGGTGCACACATGCAAGTTCTTTCATGTACATATTGTGGTCTAAAGATTTAGGGATTCTGGAAAACAATTACACCCTACATAAAGAAAATATCACCACACCCCAATGTCCAACAACCACTGCTTACTAAATGCTGCAAAGTGTCTTATCTCTCATCTATGGAAAAAGGAAAGGTACTTGTATGGAAAAGTGCTGTAGATATTATAATGGAAGCTAAAAGATGAGTGCTCACTTATCAGGATAAATATGACAAGTTAAAAAAAATAGGCTTGTTGTATCTATTATACCTCACAGATCACTGTTGTGACTTTATAGGCATACAGAAGGACTGTGCAAATTGACTCATATTTCTTATTTTCACTGTAATATCATTGATGTATCATATCTGTATGAAATCTCAACTGGTATTCTTATTTATCCTCCCACCACCATCTATCTAATGTGTTTAAAAAATCTTGGCTAAATGCCCATTTTTACTTACCTTAAGCATTTGTCACATGACACTTCAGCTCAGAGTCTTCTCCTCTTCTGTTTATCCTGCTTGGGGTCCTTCTTCCTGCATGACGTGCAAACTTTGTATTGGGTTGCCGCCGGCGGGGTTCTCACAGAAAAGAGAAGAGGACTGATGTCATCACAGGGGGGATGGTAGGAGACTGGTAGTCTTGGGGTGCCGTCATAAAGCTGGATTAGTGGTCCCACACACTGGAACCAATGGTGGCAAAGGACCTGGATAGGGGACTTAGGTGAGCATTGTTGACTTTACCAGATAAAAGGGAAAAAAAACTGTCAGCAAAGGTTAGAAACGGTAGGAAGGGGCAGTGGTAAAAGGTTAGAAAAGGTAGGAAGGAGCAGTGGTAAAGGGTTAGAAAAGGTAGGAAGGAGCAGTGGTAAAAAATTTAGTTTTATGCTAGAACTGAGCTGTAATACACCATCTTCTCATTGCCCCTCTTTTTCACTGCACTTTTTCCTTCCATGCCCCTAATTCTCCATCTTTCCCCCTGTTTCTTTTTTCATTCTCTGACTTATTTTTTGTGTTACTCAAAGTATTACTTTACATGAAGGTTAGGGGTAGTATCAACCATGCTACCATATGCTTAGATATAATAATGGAAAACAAGATACTGGGATGTATCTCTACCTCTTTATTGCTTTGGGATGTATATCTACCTCTTTATTGCTTTGTATCAAATGTCCAATTGTCAATCTTTGTTCACAACTATTGTTCCTGCAGTAACCCTTTGTATTTTATGCTTTTTCTATCAATAAAAAAAAATATACAACAATAACAAAATGAATGCTCAGTTGGACTTTAAGGATCAGTAGTACAAATCATGTAAAAAATATCACAATTACATAGACTTATAAGCTCATGAGCAGTGTTCTTAGGAACATACAGAATAAACACACCACTCCTTCTACTCTCCCCCCAACAGAAAGAGAATTGTGGATGTCAGGGATCAGTTCTCAGCTGTTAATGCAGGGGTTTTCAACTGGAGCTTGAAGTTCCTGGAATTAAATCAAGGTTTTGAGTGAAGCATGTGTATACCATCTATGGCAGCCATGTGTCTCTAAATTTGTGTTCCCTATTATAACATGTGGTTGTTAGGCTTTCCATGCATCTAATTTCATTCAGCCTAGGAAACCAGTGACTCCAGGTCCGGGGGATGTTTGCTTCCAGAGATCAAGGATGCAGGCATGGCCAGCATTCAGCAAGGGGACAGTCAGTGAGTTTTTGTAGCAATGTAGGGGCACTGAATTTATATGTAACTTATAGGCCTGGGGGGGCTGTGTCAAGATTTTGATATGTCAGCTGAAAGACTACATTCTCAACTACCGTCTAGAATTGACATAACAGGGGGCAGTAGTGTACCTGGCTCTTTATGGCATCTCCAACACATCTTGGAGACTCTAGGGTACAATTTATTCAGTAGCACTGGCACTCTGTACCACCTGGACAGTAATTTATATCTCTATTCTTGAAATTGGTTTGCAATTGAGGATTTATGGGCCAGTCGAATAGTGTTGACACTTTGCGCTTTGGTAAGGTAAACTTGTAACTCTGTTTCCCATTTGTGGATATATGGGGATACAAAGTCATCTGTAGGTACATTCAGCAACTTGTATAGTGTGGATAGCAGATGGGGTGCTCAGTTTCATTGCATACGCATTCAAAGTGGTCAGTGAATCAGGTAAAAAGGTGTGGGTCAGGGAGCAATTGCAAAAAAATGGCACAACTTATAGGCTCACCATGAGCTCAGTGGGGACTGTGCTAAGGCACTAATGTAGTGACACCCACCCTTACTGGACTCTTACTGCATGCATCTGGTCTAGCCCAGCTCCGCCAAGCTTTGAAGCTGTCTGTTTTCAGTGCTCAGCAAGGACGCAGGATTGAGTAACACTGGAGTTAACAGAGAGGGATAAAGAGATAGCCCCTTTTAAAGGAAA